TGCAAGTCCCTGAGCTTGCGAGACAGTTATGCATGGTCTGTACCATCCAGTGGAGGGGCAGATCAGATTCAGATCAGCATGCCCCCCCGCCCCCCAACTAGGTAACAACAGCAAAGGAGGAATGAATATTTGTTTTAAAATCATTATTAATTTAATAAATCCCCTATACAATCACAACACTCCTCCCCCCCAGACCTCACCAATACAGTAAAACTGCACATTTTAGAGTGGCCTTTTATTGTGGCCAGCCTACTCTATATTGGTCCACTCCTCTTTAATGGCTGTGCAAAGTTGCTGGATATTGACAGGACCTGGAACACGCTGTCATATACGCCGATCAAGAGCATCCCAAACATGCTCAATGGGTGACATGTCCGGTGAGTATGCTGGCCATGCAAGAACTGGGATGTTTTTAGCTTCCATGAATGTGTACAGATCCTTGCAACATGGGGCTGGGCATTATCATGCTGCAACATGAGGTGATGGTCGTGGATGCAACAATGGCCTCAGGATCTTGTCACGCATACGCCTGCCCATACCATAACACCACCACCACCATAGGCCACTCGATCCACAACGTTGACATCAGCAAGCCGCTCATCCACACGACGCCGTATATGTTGTCTGCCATCTGCCCTGTACACTGAAAACCGGGATTCATCCGTGAAGAGAACACCTGTCCAAAGTGCCAGACGCCATCGAATGTGAGCATTTGCCCACTCAAGTCGGTTACGAAGCAGTCAGATCGAGACCCCGATGAGGACGACGAGCATGCAGATGAGCTTCCCTGAGATGGTTTCTGACAGTTTCTGAGATGGTTTCTGACAGTTTGTGCAGAAATTCTTTAGTTATGCAAACCGATTGTCTGGGTGGCTGATCTCAGACGATCTTGGAGGTGAAGATGCTGGTCCTGGGCTGGTGTGGCTACACGTGTCTGTGGTTGTGAGGCTGCTTGGATGTACTGCCAAATTCTCCTAAATGCCTTTGGAGATGGCTTATCGTAGAGAAATTAACATTCAATTCATGGGCAACAGCTCTTGTGGACATTCCTGCAGTCAGCATGCCAATTGCACGCTCCCTCAAAACTTGCAACATCTGTGGCATTGTGCTGTGTGATAAAATTGCACGTTTTAGAGTGGCCTTTTATTGTGGCCAGCCTAAGGCACACCTGTGCAATAATTATGCTGTCTAATCAGCATCTTGATATGCCACACTGTGCGGTGGATGGATTATCTCAGCAAAGGAGAAGTGCCTACTAACACAGATTTAGACAGATTTGTGAACAATATTTGAGAGAAATCGGCCTTTTGTGTACATAGAAAAAGTCTTAGATCTTTGAGTTCAGCACATGAAAAATGGAGGCAAAAACTAGTGTTGCGTTTATAATTTTGTTCAGTGTAGATTACATCATATTTAGCAAATTTCAACTCCAAGTAGCTGAACTTTCTCCAAGCCAGATGTGCTTTCAGTTTTTCCTTTTATAAAATTACAGTGACAGTCTTTCAATAGTAAAACAAAACACTTTGATGTGGTGAAGCCATTTTGTTTTATACATTGTACTTCCTCTTTGTAACCAGTGTAATAGAGTAATTGAAACCATCAGATATAGCAGGCGTTAAAATGTACTATTTGCAATAGAATTTTTAAGCCCAAAACTAATGGCTATCTTACCAATAGATAAGTTTGTAAATTTGTACCTCCAGGCAACGTGTCATGTATGATCTCTGCACTATCCAGTGTTCTCATTTTCAACAGCCAAAAAAAGAAAAAAGGCACCAGAAACTGGTGGTTATTTTGGCTTTCGAAACTACCTTCATTAAATCTTGCATGCAACTGTCATAAAATACCAGCTGCTACTGTAAGGTTTAGTGGGGCAAAAAATTAACAAACCTTCAGTACAATTACCACTTAGTCTAAATACGTCAAAAACTAATCTATATGTGTCACATCAACTAAAGCACGCTTTAAAGTAATACTCCAGGCGTCATAACCACATTGTAGTGGTTTGCTTCCAGGACTGCCTTGTATACCCCGCCTAATGGAAGTAGCCAAACTATTTGCTAACTTTTTGACCTCTTACCTTTGCACAACATACACTGGACGGAACACACACAGAAAAAAAATGAAATAGTTTTTTTTTTCTTCAAACAGTTAACAAAAAAACTTTTAACAACTGTATTTCTGCATATACTGGTAACCTAGTGTCACCCTCTAATCAATGATAAAATGTTAATCTCTTAACTCCCAAAATTGTTTCAGGTGCCCCTGCTAGTAGCCATCTAAGTAGATTCATCAACTAGCCAAATTAAGTCTTACAGATGTCATGACTAAGGATGTCCACTTGCTTTAGACTACTAAGCTTTTGATATGTTATTGAACTAAACTCGGTCACTATCACTGATGACATCACGGGGCAGAAGTTAAAATTCACATGCACACTTCCTTTTCTGTCTCTCTCGTCTTGTATGTCATTATGGATAGTACTTAGTGCATAATGAAGTACTGCTGTGGGTTCGGGTGCATTCATTCGTAAATCGTAGGTCTGTTGCTTTAGTTATTTTATGTGCTATTTATTTTTATGCTATTGTGTGTTTTATGTGCTTAGTTGTAACTAGTGGATTTGTTGCTCTTTTTAGCTTGTTTGCCATTTATTTGTATGTTTCTGAGTGTTTATCTCTGAATAAATATTTGTTTAAGTTGACAGACCAGAGTGATTATATTTTATTAAAAATAGTATTTTAACCCCTTAAGGACTGAGCCAGTTGTACAAGTTGTGATCAAAACAAAATGTAAACAAAACCTTGAATTTGCGCTATATGTCTGTTCAGGCGAAATTCACCTCTTTCATATTAAATGCACCCACACTTATTATAAATCATTTTGTTAAGGAGAAACAGGACTTTCATGTCACTTCAAATATTTATATATTAAACATAATTTAATATGAATAAAATGTAAAACAAATTGAAAAATTAAGCTTTTTAAAAATGTTTTACTTCTGTGTGGCATTTTAACTGTGAATGTCATAATACTGTTAGCTGTTACTGCAATAAAATGCACATTGTATTCAGTGAAGTCTAAATAGCAACCCCCCACCCCCCTTCCCCCCAAGTACAGGTTTTATAGTGTTTTGAAAAGTTACAGGGTCAAATTTAGCACATTAAAATTTTTTTAGTTTATACACATTGAAATTTGACAGACTGGTTATGTTGGCTTTGAAACCGTATGGTAGCCCAGAAATGAAAATTACCCCCATGATAGTATACCATTTGCAAAAGTAGACAACCCAAGGTATTACAAATGGGGTATGTCCAGTCTTTTTTAGTAACCACTTAGTCACAAACACTGGCCATAGTTAGCATTCTAATTTGTATTTGTGTGAAAAATGCAGAAAACAGAATTGAATTTTGGCCAGTGTTTGTTACTAAGACTGAACATACCCCAGTGGCAATGCCTTGGGTTGTCTACTTTTGCAAATGGTATGCCATCATGGGGGTAATGCTCATACCTGGGCTACCATACGGTCTCAAAGGCAACATAACCAATCTGGCGAATTTTAATGTGAAAAAATGGAAATGCAAGTCTTATATTACACTCTGTAACTTTTGAAAACATCATAAAACCTGTACATGGTGGGTACTGTTATACTCGAGAGACTTCGCTGAACATCAATATTAGTGTTTCCAAACATTACAACTTATTACAACATTTATAAAGTGCCATTTGTGTGTGAAAAATGCAAAAAATACTGCACTTTCACAGACAATATCATTGTTGTGATATGTTTTACGGTTCTGAAACACTAATATGTGTGTTTAGCGAAGTCTGAGTAAAACAGTACCCACTTATGTACAGGTTTTGTGGTGTCATGGAAAGTTACAGGGTTAAATATAGGGCTTGCGAACCATATTCTCTGGACTTTCTGCCTGGGTTGTCAGGCAAGGCCCTTAAATAGTAATTAATGAAATTACTTAATCATGTAAAAATATTATACAAATATATATGTAGAATTATAAATATAAATGTGTATATATATATATATATATATATATATATATATAATATATATATATATATATATAAAACAAGAGGGGGTTGGCTGCACTCACCTTAACATGCATAAATGGGGGTGCTGCTGGGGGCCAAATAATACAATACACAAGATCCAGCGCACTCACCTATCCACTAAACAGCAACTTCAATGTTGAAAGATTTTATTTGTTTATTTAAAAACACCTAATCTAGGCAAAAATAATGGGGGTTTAGTTACATTATATGATCATACATTGCATAAGCCTGCCACAACGTCAATGTACCCCATCTTTGGCAGGTCCTACACTAACAGCCTAATGTCTGCTCTTATGAGATTAACCTACTTGGGGAAAGAAATTCCATCTGGGGCTCTCTGCAGTACAAGGCTAAATAGGGCCCTGGGATGAGGCACCTGTGACAGGGAGGGGTGCAAAACCAAGGAGTTGGCTAGACTCCCAAATATATATAAAACAAGAGGGGGTTGGCTGCACTCACCTTAACATGCATAAATGGGGGTGCTGCTGGGGGCCAAATAATACAATACACAAGATCCAGCGCACTCACCTATCCACTAAACAGCAACTTCAATGTTGAAAGATTTTATTTGTTTTTTTAAAAACACCTAATCTAGGCAAAAATAATGGGGGTTTAGTTACATTATATGATCATACATTGCATAAGCCTGCCACAACGTCAATGTACCCCATCTTTGGCAGGTCCTACACTAACAGCCTAATGTCTGCTCTTATGAGATTAACCTACTTGGGGAAAGAAATTCCATCTGGGGCTCTCTGCAGTACAAGGCTAAATAGGGCCCTGGGATGAGGCACCTGTGACAGGGAGGGGTGCAAAACCAAGGAGTTGGCTAGACTCCCAAATATATATAAAACAAGAGGGGGTTGGCTGCACTCACCTTAACATGCATAAATGGGGGTGCTGCTGGGGGCCAAATAATACAATACACAAGATCCAGCGCACTCACCTATCCACTAAACAGCAACTTCAATGTTGAAAGATTTTATTTGTTTTTTTAAAAACACCTAATCTAGGCAAAAATAATGTAATATAATGTAACTAAACCCCCATTATTTTTGCCTAGATTAGGTGTTTTTAAATAAACAAATAAAATCTTTCAACATTGAAGTTGCTGTTTAGTGGATAGGTGAGTGCGCTGGATCTTGTGTATTGTATTATTTGTCCCCCAGCAGCACCCCCATTTATGCATGTTAAGGTGAGTGCAGCCAACCCCCTCTTGTTTTATATCTGGCCTCCCTGTCTGGTGCCTCATCCCAGGGCCCTATTTAGCCTTGTACTGCAGAGAGCAGATAAAACTTGAAGGACCTGCTAAAGATGGGGTACATTGACGTTGTGGCAGGCTTATGCAATGTATGATCCATATAATGTAACTAAACCCCCATTATTTTTGCCTAGATTAGGTGTTTTTAAATAAACAAATAAAATCTTTCAACATTGAAGTTGCTGTTTAGTGGATAGGTGAGTGCGCTGGATCTTGTGTATTATATATATATATATATATATATATACATTTATATTTATATACAAATATGTATGTGTATTTTTTTAATATTATTTTATTTATATATATATAAATAAAAATAATATTAAATTAAAATATATAGATACATATATGTATTTATAACATAATTCTAAATGTATTTTGATTTAAATATATATGTATATTAATATCAAAATACAGTTAGAGCGAAAGTATAATTTTTTTTAAATTTAATTTTATTATTTATTTTATTTTTTTCAATTTTCTTATTGATTTTTTTATTATATATATATATATATATATATAATTATATATTTAACGTCATTGTAAGTGTATTTTAATATTAATATATATATAATTATATATTTTAATATTAAAATACACTTAGTTTATGTGTGTATGCGCATATAAAAGTACTTAGATCATATACACAGTGATGTCCCGAATGGTTCACCGAACAGTTCGCGAACGGTTCGCCACGAACGGTTCGCCACGGACTCATCATTGAGTAAACTTTGACCCTGTACCTCACAGTCAGCAGACACATTCCAGCCAATCAGCAGCAGACCCTCCCTCCCAGACCCTCCCACCTCCTGGACAGCTCACTAAGAATGCAGCCTCAAAATGGATGCTGTCCAGAAGGTGGGAGGGTCTGGGAGGGAGGGTCTGCTGCTGATTGGCTGGAATGTGTCTGCTGACTGTGAGGTACAGGGTCAAAGTTTACTCAATGATGAGTCCGTGGCGAACCATTCGGTGACCCATTCGGGACATCACTACATATACATATATATGATCTATGTACTTTAATTTACTTTGTTAAACTTTTTTTTAACTTCTAACTTTGAAAACTTTTTTACAGGCAGCAGGGGGACAGCCTGAGAACTCAGGCAGTTCCCCTGCTGGCACTGCATGAGCCGGCTATTCCGGCCATGTGATCACAAGGACCTGGAGGGCCGGATCGTGCAGAAGGGGGCTGCCTGGGCCACCAGGCAGCTCCCGGATCGCAACCGGCGACGTGGGATCAGCGGGGACCCGGTATGTCCCCTGGATAGCGGGGACGTTCTATGCTGCCCTTCGGCATTTAGGAGCACCCAAAAAAGGATGGCATAGAATGCCCACCATCCTTAAGGGGTTAATAGCACAAACTCCACACTCTCAAAAAAAAAAACTTTCCCCAAACAGTTAACATGAAAAAAACATTGACAAAATGGCAATCTTCTTTTTTATACTCAAAGTAGTTTCAAGTGCCCATGGCACTACTAGCTATAGAACTAGATACAGCAGCAAGCTAAAACATGTCTTATAGTAGAATCGATTGACACGGGCTATCTTCCACTACCACAAAGGCACGACACTGGTAAAACACACAGTATCACTGCAGGTCTATATCCCTAAGTAGTTATAGGTAAAGTATCTGGAAAAATCCTGATTGGAAGTAAAGATTGCTTTACTGCTCCTCTTTTTTACCTTCTTTGGTCATTTGTTACTTGATCTGTGAATAAAATTAATGTTTAGTTGCTATCCCCTAACCATCAATCATATTTTTTTCTAACTCTTGAAGGAACAGGAGATCCAACCTACATTATTGAGCAGACATCTTGTGTATCGTGGCATACTAAGTTGTTTATTTGCCCCCACCAATTAAAACTGCATGTTCTCCATCCCACCCCCCTTTGTTTCTGGTGCCAGGAACAACACTGTGAGTCAAGAACCAAAACAAGCATGTCGGGCTTGCAGAAGGCCCAATATGCTGGCACATGTTAGCTCAGAAATCAGAATTTTGTCTGATATAACCCGATCAGCCAAAATGCAGTTGAATTGCAGTTTGACTCAAAATTAATTTTCCAAGTCTGGTTTTTATGTTATTGTGAGCAGGACTACTTCTTCACTTTCTGAGTTGCTTTGACCTATCCAAAGTGACTGTCATGTCCCCCTCTTTCTCAGGAAGCACAGATAACCCTGCAAATCTACGATTACAGAGATGCCATACTGAAAGACACACCATATATATAACCTTACCTCTGACCTTCACTGCAACTAACAGTAATCTCAGCATGGGGAACATACATAAGGTCATAACTAAACATTACTAAAACAGGAAAAAATACCCTTGTTACAAATATAATAAGGAATGATAGAACAGTAATGTTTTACCATATGAATAAAAAAGCAATTTTGCTGTGATTTTGTTGGCTTATCTGACATTATCTCCTGCAGAATGTTAAAATAAAATTATAATGTATTTTGCAAGCTGCAAAATGATGATAGCAATTATTATTCATATGGAATTGTTCTGTAGACCTTAGTATTTTTGATTGTAATAATAAAAGACATCTACCATACATGTCAGCCAGAATACATTTTATTCTAAAAACTGCACAGCTACTATCTTGGGAGATGGCCTCTTTTCTTCTTACAAATTTGATAACATTATATATAACAAAGGCTCAAAAACCTTTAATTACTTTCTTTTTCACAAGAAAATTTAAATGTGAATGAACATAGAAAAAAAAGTTTCATGTCTAATTTTGTGTCGCTGGAAAAAGTTGAGTAAAATAGAAATAAAGTGGCACCTGACATTGTTTGCAGATGACAAATTTGTTAACTCATAACAGAATGTTACTTCTCTATAGAGAGATGTATGTAAATTAAGGAATTTGACAAGCAAGTGACAGATGAGATTCTAAGAAATGAATGCCCAGTTACACATTTTGGGACTAAACATTAAGAGTTTGGGGTATCATTAAATCAGAAGGTTTTCAGAATAATTGCGCAAAACAGACTTGGGAAACATTTCCATGCAACTGCTGTTAATATAGCCCCTTACCTATGTCGTGGTTATGGTCCCTGAAGTGTACTGGAACAGTGTGTCAATTCATTTTAGAAAGGGCTAAGATCATTGGCTGAAAGCAATCAGCTGAGTATGTACAGTTATGCTCAAAAGTTTGCATACCCTTGAAGAATTGGTAATATTTGTACCATTTTTAAAGAAAACATGAGTGAGCATGCAAAACACATTTATTTTATTTCTTATGGGATTCATATTTAACTGTAGGTTATAATAGAATGGCACAATCATAAAACAAAATCAGCAACAAAGAAAACAATTAAATGACCCCTGTTCAAAAGTCTGCATACCCTTAGTTCTTAATACTGTGTATTGCCCCCTTTAGTATCAATGACAGCATGCAGTCTTTTGTAATAATTGTCTATGAGGCCCCTAAATCTTGCAGGTGGTATAGCTGCCCAGTCGTCTTGGCAAAATGCCTCCAGGTCATGAAAAGTCTTCAGTCGTCTTGCATGAATTGCACGTTTGAGATCTCCCCAGAGTGGTTTGATGATATTAAGGTGAGGAGACTGTAATGGCCACTCCAGAACGTTCACTTATTCCTGCTGTAACCACTGGAGGGTCAACTTGGCCTTGTGCTTAGTGTAATGCTGGAAAGTCCAAGAGTGTTCCATGTGCATTCTTCGTGCAGAAGCATGCAAATTGTCTGCCAGTTTTTTCTGATAACATGCTGCATTCATCTTGCCATCAATGTTCACAAGATTCCTCATGCCTTTAGAGTTTACACACCCCTAAAACATCAGTGAACCACCACCATGCTTCACAGTGGGGTTGGTATTCTTTTCACTATAGGCCTTGTTGTCCCCTCTCCAAACATAGGTGTGGTGAAATTCTGTCATCAAACTAATATGGTGACCAGGGGTCATGTGATCAAGCTTACAGTGGGATAAGCTTTACCCTTTTGAAATGGCAATTGGGTAATTCAATACCTTTACAAGTCAGGAAAGAGATAACCACTTCCCCCTTTCTCCATTCCTCTCTGTTCCTTCCTGGCTGTGCTGCAGAGCATTTGTGCAGACGCCATGTGCTAGCATGGTGAACTATGTTACTGTCTGTTGCTTCCTTTTCTTCCTTGGTTGATGTGATGTTGAACTTGCAGCAGTGAGCCATTACTAGATGTGAAGGCCTAACCGTGGGTGAGATCAAACGTGTGGGGAAGGGGTTACTATATAGATAGATTTAAAAAGGGTTGTTGCTCTGTGGGTCTGGGCTGTGTGTTTGTGATACATTTATAGTATTGTGTTGTTGCCTTCTAATAAATACCTTTTAATGTAGACGAACCTTGTGTAATATATATATTAATTTGGTGATACACCACAATAGCGCTTATGGTTGTTACCATAAAGTTCTATTTTGATCTCATCACTCCAAATTATAGTTTGCCAGAAGTGTGTCAAGGTGTTGTCGGGCATATTGTAACCAATCTTTTTTCTGGCATTGGCACAGTAAAGGCTTTTTTCTGGCAACTCGACCATGCAGCTCATTTTTGTTCAAGTATCGTCGTATTGGGCTCATTGAAACAACCTCACCGTCTTTTTCCAGGTCAGTCTGTATTTCTCCTAGGTTACCGGTGGGTTTTTCTTTGTATCCCAAACAATTCTTTTGGCAGTTATGGATGAAATCTTTCGTGATCTACCTGACCTTGGCATCAAGAGAGCCCAGAATTTTCCACTTCTTAATAAGTGATTAAACAGTACTGACTGATACTGTCAAGGCTTTGGATAACTTTTGATATACTTTTCTATCTTTATAAAGTTACGCAGGGCTTACCTTGCCATGCAGGGCTTTTCACAGTTCTTTTCTGCTTCCCAT